CGACAGCGCGGCGCAGGCCAGTGCGACTTCTTGGCGTCGCCGCAAACCTCGCATGCAGGGATCGCCGCTATGAGGTTCCCGCTGCCAGGCAGCGGAGCGACGGCGCGACCGCGGCCCGCGCTAGCCTTTGCAGGCCAGCGCGGGTTCTCAGCGCTTGTCGCGAACCTGACCTATACTCGGGCCGCCACTACGAAGGCTCACGCGCCCTTGCTCAGGAGCAACGCCGCCGCCGTGCCCATGACGGCGCGGCGCAGGCCACCAGAACCCCCCACCACCCGTCGCGGTTGTGGCGTGCGCGCAGGTCATCACTACACAAAGGGGCGGCATCGTGTTGCAGGTCGACGTGGTCGCATAATTGACCCTCGCGCAGGTGGCCACCGCGGGGTTTTGCGCCGCCTTGCTCAGGAACCCGGACTGCGCGGTGCAGGCCATGGCGACCTCCCAGCGCCCACGGTGGCCATCACCTACAAGCAGGCACCGCTACGAGGCCTTACAACACCCAGCTCAGGAACGACGCTGCCGTCAAGCCCCGCGACCGCGGCGCTCTTTTCGAAGCAGTGCGACATCCCAGCGAATGTTTGCGCATGCAGCGGCTGCCTGTCCGAAGTGCAACGGGCACGGCCTGCCGCCTCGCGCCTCTCGGACGACTGATGTGTACTCTACCGCGTTGGCGTCTCCCTAGGCGTCGTCGATCATCGGCACAGGCACGATAAGGTACACATTTCTGGATCCCATAGAGCCGAACTGCTATGCACCGTACCGCGCTGGAGCAGGGCCTGAAGGGAGTCCTCACATGGTACGGTGCATGGGTGCCATTCTCGCATTCCAGGTTAGCCGTAAGCGCATGCCCGCCGCGCTGGCCGCAGGCGCCGAGCTGCTGGTTCGCTAGCCGTTGGCCAGGCCTACGGCGGACGCCAGGCTCGCTGCGCAGACAGCCAAACAGCTGGCCCAGCTTGGCGCTGCGCGCTGGCGCCCAGGAGCTAGCCGTCGGTGCGGGGTGCAGGCAGGCTGCACTAGCCGCATGTTCAGAGCTGCGGACGATGGGATCGCCGCGCAGGCCCCTGAGCAGCTGAGCGTCCAGCACCGCGCGAGCGGTTGAAGCGGGGGACTTCGGCGCGGCAGGACGCGCCTTCCCACTCGGCCGTGGAAGGTGTGTGATGCTTCTCTCCTTCCTCTCCCCTTTGTCCCTCCCTCCCTCCCTCCCTCTTCCCCTCCCCTTTCTCCGTAACTCATCCTTCCTCCCGACCCTCGCCAGCGGTGTCAGGCAGGCGATCTTCGGACGAGCGAGCCAAGCAGGGGACCATTTCCATCCCCCCGCCCCGCGCTGTCCCGACAGGTAGGAGCCCGGCCGGGCCACGTTGGAAGCGGTGGTGGCGGATGGACGATGCCAGGAAGTTGTTGGACTCCTTGATGGCGCCCAGGGGGAGGGGGGAGGGAGGAGGATCCGACGGAGGAGGGCGGAGGAGGGAGGAGAGGGGACGAGGGAGGGAGGAGGGAGGGAGGAGGGAGGAGGATGGAGGAGGGCTCAGGGGGGAGGAGTGGGGAGGGAGGAGGGCGGAGGGGTAGGGAGGAGGGCGGAAGGGGGGAGGGGCAAGCTAGGTGCGCTCGCGTCATATCTGACGTCCTACCCCTACCTCCTATTCCTTACCATGGCGTAGATCTCCTCTCTATTCGCACAATCGGATGTCGAAGCATGGCATAGCATTACGTGGTGTAACATGGTGTATAATATTAACACGTAGCATGACATAGCATGGCGTGGCGACGGCCCAAGGTGGGGGGGCTTCTGCGGCCAAAAATCAACGACTCGACACCGAATGTGGAATCATTTCCGATGGTTTCTTCGAGGCGGCTTTTTCTAGATCTGGGGGCCTATTTGGAAGGACCGACAACCATGCCAGGGCATGGCACTCGAAATAATGGCGCCAGCGCTGCAGTGAGAGCACGATTCGGAATGAGCGGAAACGCAGAAATGAGGCCAGTGCTGCAGTAGGAGCACGATTCGGAACGAACGGTAGCCCAAAAATTAGGCCAGCGCTTCAGCGACAGCAGCATTTTGAACAAAAAACTCGGCGCGGAAGCGCGGAAATGAGGACGCCTAGCTTGACATAGCATGGCGTGGCGACGCCCCAAAGTGGGGGGGCTTCCGCGGCCCTAAAAATCGACGAATCGACACCGAATGTGTTATCACTTCCGATGGTTTCTTCGGGGCGGCATTTTCTAGATTTTGGGGCCTGTTTGGAAGGACCGAAAATCATGCCGTGGCATGGCGCAGGAAATAATGACGCCAGTGCTGCAGCGGGCGCACGATTTGGAACGAGTGGTAGCCCGAAAATGAGGCCAACGCTGCAGCGGGGGCACGATTCGGAACGAGCGGTAGCCCGAAAATGAGGCCAGCGCTTCAGCGAGAGCAGCATTTGGGACAAAAAACCCAAGCGAAAACCCAACTCCCCGGAATCCTGTGGTGTAAAACCAGTGCGTGGAGGGTGGCCGGACATGCCCCGGACGCCACCAGGGGAGAGAGGAGAGTAGCATTCATATTGTGTAAGTGTGGAGGGAGGAGGGGGGAGGGGGAGGAGGAGGGAGGAGGTTGGAGGAGGGACGTGGAGGACGCGGGAGAGGGGCTGCGATGGAAGTGTGTGGGGCTGAAGGGTGCCCTGCAGAAGCTACGAAGCGTGAGGCGTGTGGGCGGAGGACTGAGCCCGAAGGAAAGAATCATTTCATAAGGGAGGCGTCAGGGAGGACGGAAGAGGATGGATGGCGGACAGCGGGACAGATGGATGAGGGAGGGAGGGAAGAAAAGGAGAGCGAAGGAGGGATGGATGGATAGGGCGAGAATGACGAAGGGATGGAGGCTGAAGGGGGAGGGAGTAACGGAGGATAGGATGGAGTGGGAGTATGGGCAAGAGCAGGAGTAGGAGCCGAGCCAGCCAGCTCGAGCGAGACAGAGGGTCCCACCACCCCCATAGTAACTAATCAATGTGGGCGCAGGTGGACATTTGGACTGGAGCGCGCTTTCACTTAGTCAGCTAAAGGTGCTCGCGCGCGGTCCCGCTTCCGACGACGGCGCAGAGGAAGGACATGCACCGCGCCAGAGCGGGAAAGCAAGTTTGGGGGGAATTTGGGATGCGAAACGACCAACGTTCCGTTCGTTGGCGCGCGGTCCACTTTCCTCTAGGGTTGGTGGTCGAGGCCCAGGCGCGTCGCCAAAACTGGAACGAGCGCGAAAACCCGAGCGACGCGTGTGCGAGAACGGCATTCCACGTTTCGAGCAACATGTGCGCCGCGCATAAGCGGGGCTTCAGTTCTCAGGAAAATGAGCGTGGCCCTTAGTTTCAGCAGTTCGCTTGTCGCGGGCAAAATGTACACCACGTTCCATTCCCGCCGCGGATTTGGCATGGCTACGGCAACACGTACTTGTTGATGGGAAACAGGTTGATGTTGCATTGCCATTGTATTATACTTATGAGGTTCTTGTTGTGGTCGCGCCTCCGCCTCACTCCACACTCACCCGCGTTTTCTGGGCCCACTCATTCTCAGACTCACGCCTGCTTAATATGTAGCCACGTTCGCCTAGGCTCACTCATGCTCGGGCTAAATCATACTCGGACCCATTCGCACTCAGCAACAGCACCAGCCACTTGCAGTTCAGACCCCGTTATGCTCAGACTCACTCATAATTAGATTCACGTGCATTCAGACTCGCTCATACCCAGGCGTATTCCGAGTATCGTGCGTATGAGGTTCTTGATCCCCATGTCCTCGGCATGGAGGAGTTGTTATCAGTGAGAGCCCCATCTATCTCCTTCCGCCACGTCCCTTCCATTGCCATTCGACCTCGGACGTACCCATGCCCAGACTAACTCAGACTAAGATTGACTCACACTCAGATTCACTCGCACTCTGACCCACCCACACACACATGTCTGATACTAAGACCCACTTATACTCGCGCACTCAGACGCTTCCACCCTCAGGCACACTCCCAACCAGAACCCAATGATCACAGCGATGGGCAGCCATCGCATCACAATGCACAGTCCACTCGGACAGACTCACTCATGCTCAGGCTCACCTACACAACGGCAACTTCATTCACAGACTCACCATGCGCGTTTATATATCGAAGACGCCTACGGCGAATCACCGCCGCCCCCTGCCTTCTAGAATCGCCCATGTGGCCGAACGTTGTGGCAAGAGCTCTGCCAAACTATCGGACCATGTGTTCCCCCAACCGTTGTGGAAACCCTTCGGGGAACACTTGGGGGAGGATGGCGGGGAAGAACAGAAGGGAGCGGAGGAGGAGGTGGAGGAGGAGGAGTAGGAGGAGGAGGGAGCATCTTGGGAGCCTCTGGGGACACTCTTGGGGCCTCCTGGGAGCTTCTGGGAGCCTCTTGGAGGCATCTTGGGGGCCTCCTTGGGCCTCTTGGGGGCCTTTGGGGTCTTCTCGGGGGCCTCTTCGGCCGTCTTGGTGTGCTCCTGGCCCGTCTGACGCCGTCGAAAGCCGGCTTTGGGGCTTACCTGGGCCAACTTGGGGCCGGAGGCCATCTTGGACGTCTTGGAGGCCTTTTGGGCCGTCTTGGGGCCCTCTTGGGGCCGTCTTGGGGGCCCCTTAGGCCTCTCTGGGGCCGTCTTGGAGGCCTCTTGGGCGATCTTGGGGCGATCTTTGGGGGCTCTTGGGCCGTGTCGGGCCGTCGGTAGGCCGAAAAAAACAAATGCCCAAGTCCTTCAAAAATTTCAAGGAAATCAGCGATTTTTGCATATTCGGGCCTTCCTGGAGGCCCTCTTGGAGACATCCTGGGCCGTTCTGACGCCATCCTGGAAGCCTTTCGGGCGATTTTTCGGGACTCTTGGGCCGTCTCGGGCCGTCGGAAGACCGAAACAAAAACAAATGTCATGGTCTGCGCTTTCACGTTCAGGATGCCCTCGGCTCATTGATATGTGTCGTCGCCACTTGACTCCGCACAGTTGCTTGAGTTTCTCGGTTCCAAAGGGGGCGGATGGACGTGGCCGTCCGTGGCGGCGGTCCCCGCGTGGGCGGTGCTGGCCCTCGAGGCGGTGACGTGGTGGCGGCAAGGTCAGACCTGCCCCGACCTCAGCTGCCCTTCTTGCCCAGCCTGTCCCGAGGCCGCGTCCTGCCCAGATGCCGTGCCGTGCCCAGCGTGCGAATGCCCTTCCTTCGAGGTGGCGGCTTGTGTGGCCGAGCGCTCGGTGGGCGGGCAGGCGGTTGACAAGCTGCTCAGCGCGTTCCTCGGCGGCTTGGTGCACTGGCTGGTGGCGAAGGTGGTGAACAGGCTCCATGACGTCGGTCACCGCGTGGCTCCGCGGCGCCGCGGGGCAGCCCACGAGCGCGTGCTATTTCACCCTGTCGGTGGCGGAGTGTGGGTCGTGGTGCTGACTCCCGATGGGGACATCTACCCGGAGGACCTCAGCGGCGCTGAACCTGAGATTGGGCTGGTGAAGGCCTTCCCGCTGGCCATGAGGACCCGCAAGATGCGGTCGCTGCACCCGTTCAAGGAGGCGCTTGGACCAGACGAGCTGGCGGACGCCCTCCAGAAGGGTCGGCGGGCGGCGCGCGAGGAGAACGCCGAGCTGGCAGAGCCCGCGGACGCCGTCGCCTCGGACGGCGAGGCGGTCCCCTGGGGCGACGCGGCTGGCTCGCCGACGGCCCTGGACCACGCGGAACTGCTGCGCCTCGTCCAGGCGGCGTCGAGAATGGGAGGTAGGCCGCTGGCCCCCGCGGGCCCTGGCGAGATGTGGCTGGCCCTCAGCGGGGGCCCAGGCGTGGCGATCGGCAGCGAGGCCGACGCGACCGGCGCCATCGGAGTCTCTTTCGAGAGCGGCCCGTAGCCCTTCGGAGTGAGGATGATTGGTGAGGGTCGCGCGGCGCGGCTCGCGATGGTCGGGGCTGCCCAGGCGCCCGGCCAGTAGGCGGCAGAGGGGGCGCTGCAGGCGGCGCCGCGAGGCGGACGAGGATCGGGGCCAAGGAGGACCTCCTCGGCGCGCGGCGGAGCCGCCCCCTCGGGGGCCGCTCGCGCTCGAGGATGGTTGGGGGCACGGCCGCTCCTGAGAAGAGGTCGAGGGCGCCCGTCGCTCCCGATGACAAGGAGGAGGAACGCGAGGACGCGCGGACCCTCTGGGTGGACTACGACGCCCAGGGGAGAGGCACAAGCGCTGGCGTGATGTGGTGCGAGAGTCGCGGCAGGAGCGCTACGCCGCCGCCCTCGTCGAGGGGCCGCCCGGCGCCCCGCGCACGCGCGAGCGCACGGAGATGAACGGTGGCGACCCTCGGCCCTGGCTGCAGCTCTTCAGCCAGATGAAGTGGCTCAGGGCCAACGATTGGGTGTCGCACGAGTTCAAGGTGCTGGTGGGGGCGCTGCGCCAGGTTGTTCGCGCGTGCGTGTGTGCGACCAGGTTAACATGTGAGGGCTGATAACGGTAGAGGTCATCGCGCGGCGGCTGGCCGCGATCGTCGACGCTTGCGCGCCGATCCCAACAAGCCGAGCTGGGAGAGCGCCCGCTTCGTCGAGGGCATCGCCTCAATCGAGGACGCGTCGGGGCCGGGCCTGCGGGGCTACGCGCAGCGCCGGGCCAAGGAGCAGTGCGAGGCGGATCGGGCGCAGGACGCGGCCCGGACCTTGGGGGGCGCCCGAGGAGGTGACCGCGGAGGCGGGGGACACGAGCGGGGGCAAGGCCGAGGGCGGCAGACGCGCGGGGGGCCGAGGCCGCGGGGGCGGCCGCGGCCAGGGCGTTGCTCTCACGGGGCCACGACGGCCCCCAGGCCCGTGGAGAGCTGCCCCATCCCCCGGCCCTTTTTGCAGGGGCAGCGAGGCGGCCGCCTTTCACCCTCGCGAGGAGCGCGCATCTTCTTGCCAGCCCCCGCGCAGGCTGAGGAGGTCCGCCGAATTCCCGGCAGAGGTCGGCGGGAGAGGTTCTCTGGACGGGGGGCTCGTATATCCCGGAGGGTCGCGGAGGTGGCGGGCGCCTTGAATTGGATGTCAGGCTACGAGACACCCGCGGGGCCCGCCAATGACGCGCAGTGGGGCGTGTTCTCGCGCTTCGAGGGCTCGGTGAGGGACCGGTATCGGGGCGCCGAGTTGCAAGCGCCGCAGGCTGCTTTGCGAGAGCTGCTGCGGGGCCGTTCGCCTTGCGAGGGGCGAGGTGGCCCGACGACGGTCGCCTCCTACAGCGCCACGTGGGCTCGCCAGCATGCCGACGGACGTGAACTGCCCGCGGCTGGGGGTCCGGTTGCCCGACGAGGCCCTTCTATGCTTACAGGGGCGTCAGGAGCGCATGCTTCGTTAGAATCCTTTGGAGACCGACGCGGGGTCGCATTCCGACCTTGTCCTCAAGTTCAACCAGAAGGAGTACCGCGGCCTGGTGCACCAGCTGCTCTCAGCGGGCATCCTGGGCTAGATAGATTCCGTCACCGGGGGAAAGGGCTGGAATTTTCAAGATGGAAGGACGCGGCCACACGGGTCTCCGTTTAGTGGACGCCCGCCGGGGCAACGCCCACTTCCGCGACCGCCAGGCGTCGAGCTGCTGAGCAGCGAGGGGTTGGCACGGATCGCGCTGCAGTTGCCCGCCGGAGGAGTGGCCAGCCACGGCGACCTCCGCGCAGGTCCGGAAGCGCAGCAGGTCTAGATCGGGATGGCGGACGCCAAGGGCTGCTTCCATCGCGCTTCCGCATCGACCTGGAGCTCTCACGACACTTCTGCCTGCCGCCCGTCAAGGCGGGCGCCTTCGGGATCACCGAGCTAAGCGGCGAGAAGGTCTCTGCGGGTCGCGCAGTCTACCCGCGCTGGCAGGCCCTGCCGATGGGCTTCAGTTGGTCGCCCTACTTCGCTCAACAGGCCAATGAGGAGGTCACCCGCCGAGGGGCTCCGCTCCTCCGCCAGCCTGGACTCTCAGACCATGTTGGTCCGCCGCTTGTATTGGCGCCGCTGGAGGCCAAGGAGGAGGTGCGGCACTACGCGTACGTGGACAACCTGGGGGTGTTCTCGTTGTTCCGCCAGCTCGTCTCGGGCGTCATGGACCATGTGGAGGGCAAGTTCACGGAAGTACAGCAGCTGCTCCACGAGGACGAGCTAGTCGACGGAGATCTGGCGCTGCCACCAGGCCATTCGCGGGCCGCTGGCTAGACGCAAGGTGAAGGACTGGGCCGTCGAGGCGTTGCTGGGCCACTTCATCTTCTGCGGGCCGTGCGCGAGGGGCACCCTTTCGGCTTTCAACTCCGTCTATAGCTTCGCGCAGGCGCACTACGACAGGCCTGCGGTTCTCTGGGGAGAGGCGCGCCGAGAGCTGAAGTCTTTCGGCTCCTTGATGTACTTCTTGGAGGCGGACTGGTGGCCCCCGCGGAATTCGATGGCGCAGCAGTCCGACGCCAGCCTCTACGGCCACGGGCTGGCTGGGGCGTTTCGGCTGCCAGGCGTGGTGGAGTCAGTCGGGCACGTGCCTGAGCGGGCCCGCTTCCGCCGTCGCTGCGCCCACAGTGCCCGCGAGGCGCCCCTGTGCGCCGCAGGTGTTGCGATGAATGAGGGTGGAAAATGGGAGCTCCGAGGGCTGCTTGGGGACGCAGAGCAACTCGGCCTGCGGGCCGTGAAAGAGGATTTCCCCGAGGTCCCAGCTCGCGGGCTCCGCGCGGCCCTGCGGGAGCCCTGCTTCGCGAAGGCTTGAGGGCACCCTGAAGGCTCACTCTGGAGGCCCGCGCCTTGGTCACCAGCATGCATCGCATTGCCGCGACAGTTTTTCACGCTGTGTGCCTGTGTCGCAATATTCCGCGCGTGGTTCGGCGGATTCCCAGCGAGCTGAACTGCGCTGATATGCCCTCCAGGTTGTTCGACCCCGACGGTGTTAAGAGCGCGCTATTTGCTGAGTTGCTGGACTTGGAGCTGTCTCGGGATCAAGGAGAACCACCCGATGCCCATGCCTTCCAGACCCTGGCAGAGGATCGCGCGCACCCGAAGGTCTCCCAGCCGCCGCCTCTGGCTCCAGGGGACGGGGGCGCCCCCCAGGCGGGCCAGGATCCCCCCCGAGCAGCCGAAATCCTTGGCCCCCGCCGAGGCGGGCCCCCCTCCCGCCAAGCGACCGCGCCAGGGCCCGAAGGCGAGAGTGGCGGCCGCTGAGGGCGGTGGCTGGGGCTTGGCAAGCCGCTGCAGGGGGTCCAGAGGCGCCCCGCGGGCCAGGCCCTGGGCTCGCCGGTAACAGATCTGGCCTCAGCGCCGGAGGGTGGCGCGGCCAGGCCGGCAGCGCACGCGAGCGACGACTCCTCCGACAGCGGCAGCTCCGGGCCCGCGGCCCAGACCGGCGCCGCGCGGCCGCGCAGACTGTCGCAGTCATAGAAGCGACGAGCGCGCCACTACCACAGTTGGGACGACTCGGAGGGCTTCTCGCTTCTGGACAGGAGGCCGCGCGCGGCGCCGCGCAGCGGGAGCGCCAGCGCGCCTGGGGCGGGTGGCGGGAGGTTGCTCGCAAGATCAGCCCATCAGACGACGCGGAGGCTCTCGCCCAGGAGAAGAGCGATGTCGAAGTGGACGAAGCCCTGGTTAGCTACCTGAACTCGCTCTACCAGCATGGCACGCACTTCTCCTGGACGAAGAGGCTGATGGCTGTCTGGGGTGCTGCATTTTAACCCGGACTTCACGCGCCAGGGTGCCCGCCGCCTCCCCGGGCTGGAGACGCCTCCAGGCTTGGCGGCGCCCGGGGCCGCCCCGCGCTCGCAAGTCTCGGGCGCTGGCCCTTTTGGCGCGCCATGACCTGGCGCATGCGGGAGCGCGGCAGCCTTCAGATGGCGGCGTGCACGCTGATAGCAGTGAGTGTCTACGCGCGGCCGAGCTGCCTGCTGAAGTTCCGCCCTTCGCGCCATGTGCCGCCGGCGGCGGGAGTGCGTCAGCGCTGGGCCTTGCGGCTGTTCCACGAGGAAGAGGACCTGCGAGACAAGACCGGCCTGGGGGATGTGTCGCTGGAGCTGGACCCACCCTGGATCCGCTGGCTGGACCCAGAGCTCTAGGAACTCTAGCGTCAGGGGAACCCAGCGTGCCTCTGGAATCGTATTCATCTCGAGCGCTGGAAGACGTTCAGCCTGAGCCTCCAAGACCTGGAGGTCTGCCCGCAGATAGTGCCCTTCCAGATGCGGCAATCGGGGGCCCCCATCGACATGGCCAGGAGGTGGAGGTGGCTAGACGAGGTCCAGAAGAGGGACCAGTGGCGCACGACACGCAGCGTCGCCAGGTACGAGAAGCACGCCAGGTTTGCCGCGACCTGGTCGAAGCTCACAAAGGCCCAGCAAGACGCGTTCCTGGCCTGCGAGGCGCAGCTCGAGGACATCAGGGGCGCGCCTCGCCGGTCGACTTGCAGGCGCTCAGCCGCGCCGAAGGGGCCAGTATCTAGCCGGCTGCTTCAGTGGCAAGGGCGGGGTGGGGCGCGCGGCCATGGGCGAGGGGGGTGCCCGCGAGGTCCTGGGACACGCTGCGCGGCCCGGTGGGTGACCTCATGCGGCGCAAGGTGCTCAGAGGCTTGTGCTCGGACACTGCCGCAGGGCGCGGGGCGGCAGTGATGTTGGCGCCTCCGCGCGGGCCCTGGACTTGAACGACTGTGGCCCGACCGAGAAGGGGCCATCCGCAGCGCCCAGCGGCCGCGGGGGCTGTCTCGAGATGATCTGAGTGAGGAGCAAACCGCTCGCCTGGCCCTCGGCAGTAGGATCATGCGAGCGGCCTTGGTCCTTCTTCGGCGCTGTGAGAAGTTATCAGTACCATGTGTATTCGAGCATCCTGTCAACTCGCGTGACTGTTCGATTAAAGAGGCCCGGGGGGTCGTTGATCGGGGGGCTTGTAATTCGGCGCCTCGATCAA